ATAAGAGAATGGGGTGAAGATGGACTTGGATAGTGTATCTGCAGACATTAAACTAAGACCCTTGACCTCTGCCTCATTTCCCCCTAGGATTTTTGCCAATTCTAAGCTTTGAACTTCCAGCTTTCTTCTGTTGTAATTGCCTAGGTATAAATTCTTTGCCTTCTGTTTATAACAGTGAACACTAACTTTTATTGAGTTGTGTTCAGGAAGTTTCCTAGGTGCTTCATATAACTTGGCCCATTCACACAACCTTATGAGGTAGGTGTGAATTATCTACATTTTATAAAGAGGACTTGCTCAAAGTATACAGCTCATGCTTGGCCTAGCTGACATTTGAATCCAGACAGACTATGATCCCATCATCCACACATCTTGGATACAGAAATCTTTCATTTCCTGATACTGGGATTTATTATGATATTTTTCCTTCCACATATATTTTTAAGCAGGTATTTCAGTGGTGAAGACTGAGAAGGAAATGCATGTGTTCTGTCTGCAACCTTTGACTGAAATCTATCCATCCCTCCTGAATGCTAAATACACAAACACTGCTGGACAAATCTGGGTCTAGACAGTTGCTTCTGCTGTCAGGTTATGGGCACCATAATGGCAGACAAGGAAGAGCTAGAGGCTTACTTCTAGAGGTAAGATTGCTGTGGTCACTCCTTCCCATCGCTTTAACCACCTCCTACTGCCCCCCTGGAACAACCTCTTGGGGATTTAGAACTTTATGATGCAGATAAATTTCCTCACTCCCTGTCACGCTCAGTTACCTGACTGGGCTATCTCCTGACTCCCGAGGGGAGCATTTGGAATGGAACTGCTCTTTCTTTGTGCATAGCCACCCTCCCTCCTTCTCTCTCAGTACACTCATAGGTGCACGCGTGCACACACACACAAGCACGTGCATGCACACATGTGCAAAACAACTGTTTCAACCAATATTTACTAAGCAGTTATGTACTACGCCTTTGGTAGAGTTAAGTGACTGATAAACTCTCTTCCGTGAGTCAAATCATGCATCTGAAGCACACAGTGATGCAATTCTTTAAGGGGAGGGGGCGCGGTGTGGAATCTGTGCTCAGGCAGGTGGCTGCTGGGCTCAGGCCGGTGGCGGCCTCTAGATCAGGACTGCGAGGGATGCCGAAGTGTCCTATGCAGAACAGCTCCTCATTGGTCCCTGGCCTGCATTTCTTTTCTTTTTTTTTTTTAAATACTTGTAAATTCTTTTTTTTTTTTAAAAAAAATGTTTTATTGATTTTTTACAGAGAGGAAGGGAAAGGGATAGAGAGTTAGAAACATCGATGAGAGAGAAACATCGATCAGCTGCTTCCTGCACATCTCCTACTGGGGATGTGCCCGCAACCAAGGTACATGCCTTTGACCGGAATCAAACCCGGGACCTTTCAGTCCGTAGGCCGACGCTCTATCCACTGCGCCAAACTGGTCAGGGCCCTGGCCTGCATTTCTAACTCTGGAGATTGATTTCCTTGAGGTGAGACATTTGCCAAGAAGCAAGTCACCTTGTTAGGGGTCCTTATCACCTTAGTATGAATTAAATGCACGTGGTTTCTACAAAACGATAATGGAGTGGACCACAAAATGGTCACAGATTGCTTATATCCCTGTATGCACGTTCCTTTTCAATGGGATTTTTGCCATGCCTCCCATCATGAAATGGTGGAGTTTATTTCTCTCCTTTGAACCTGGGCCTGGCCAGCTAACTTCCTTTGGCCAATGAAACATTAGAAAATGTGCTGCAGAGGCTTGGAAAGTTTGCCTTCTCCTGCTGCTGCTGGAAACCCTTCTGCCACTGTGTGGACAGGCCTCCTTGAGGATGAGAGACCATGTGAAGAAAGGCCTTAAGCTTCCCTGCTGTCCTGGCTATAGCCCCAGGCATGAAAGGGAGGCTATTTTAGATCACTCAGCCCCAAATGAGCTGGACTAATGCAAAGAACTGGCCAGATCAGTCACAGAATTGGGAGATATAAATGGTTGTTTTAAGTCAAGTTTTGAGGTGTTTTCTCATGGGCAATAGCTAAATGATAGATAGATAGATGATAGATAGATAGATAGATAGATAGATAGATAGATAGATAGATCTATTTGTGCCCCTTGCGGACTCCAAATGTTTGGGAGGCAGCAGGGGAGCCCCTGAGGAGAGTGAAATACAGTAAAGGAGGAAGGAATACATTTTAAAAACTTCACTCTTCCTCAGGACTAATTTTTTATAGCTCCAATAAGAAACGTTTAGAATGTGAGCACTGCTCTCCAGTGTCAGGGTTTTGCTGTAATTTGAACAATCCCAGTCATCTGACCCTCTTGTTTACTTTTTATTGAATAGTCCAGCAGAGATAAATAATTTCTCAATAGATTCATTGGGTTTCATCCTGACCCAGAACTCTAAGTTTAAACACAGACATTATCTGGAACTGGGAAACATCAGAAGGGGAAGCCGACTCAATCTGTTCTCTGTCAAACTCTTGGTTTTAACATCCCACAGTGTCAAAGAACACCAACCAGCCCCTAATGTTCTGACTCATTGTCACACCCTGAGTTGGACTACATGCTCTCTCCCTCCTCCCCCCTCAAACATAATGCTTTCTAGCTCCTCTGCAATGTGAATAATCTACTTTGCAATCTGGTTATTTGAATGGATGTTTGTTGTCTTTAGAGACTTTAAGCTTTCTGAGGGCAGGTGTCTTGTTTTATTCATTCATTATTTTGTTAACTCATTCATGCAGGGAACGAGAATTTTGTAATGATGGTTCATCCCTGCTTCCAAGGATCTTATTGTCTAAGTAAAAGAGAAACAACATAAATCAGTTTTTAAAGATCATGTTAATGTTAATACTGAGTATTTATAAAATGTTGTGTGAGCACAGAGAAGCAGCACCTTGACTCAAGTACCTGTATCCTCACTTGTCTTCCTGCTTCTGCACTTGACCCCTTAAAATCCAATGTGCATGCAACAGTCAGAGGGATTTATTCAAATAGATTGTATCAACTCTCTGCTCTAAAATTTCAGTTGAAGCTTCTTACTGGTCTTACAAAGTCAATGGGATCTGGCTGTTGCCTTTCTCTCTGACTGCACCTCAGTCACGCTGGCTCCCTTCAGTGCTGGGAATCAAGCCTGCTCTCCAGCTCAGCACGTTTGAACTGGCGGTGCCCGTCTCTGTATGACTGGCTCCTTGCCATTCAGAGCTCAGCTCTGGTGGCTGGATCCCTGACACCTGAAGTGAGTAACCACCCAGTCACCCACTGTCATATGGTCCTGCATTACTCTAATCATGACATGGTAGTGTCTGCCTGTCTCCCTCCCTCCCTCCCTCCC